TTACGGTCCAATCACTGCAATCCCGAATCCAGCGAGACTGCCCCAAAACGGTGGGCCGGGAGTTAGGAGGGAGAGTGTCAAATATCTCCTGCGAGACATCCTGCGTTGATGGGCCTACGTGCCCGAACAATGCTAGACCCAACCGTCATTGACTGGACCGTAATCAAGGACCAGGAGACGTTATGACGGTGCCACATGTGCCCGGGAACGGCCCGGGACGGACCCATACCGTCCGGGTACCCAAGCACATGGCCCCTGCCATAAATCCTGGCCACTTGGCCGTAACAGAAAGAAAGAAGAACATACTTGTAAGTAGAGTATGTATGCTATCATTTCAAGTTGACAGAAACAAATTACTCTAGTGTATCCAAAAGTTATTTTGTTTTTTACACATATGTATTTCGTATTTATAATGTTAGAAGATAGATGTGCGTGTTCCCAGTGTCGTTTTTCATTATAACATCAAAAATTTGTAACGATATTTTCTGTAAGTTTTGAGAAATTTAATTACTCTATTAAATATGTAACAGTTTAACTTTGATAAAACTAAATAAGATACTAATACTTATCGTTAAAGATTATACATATAATCAACGTAGAGACATTCAGCATATTTATGATGACATTTCATTTTATAGATATTATGTCAATAATCATGTCAATACATGACTAAATTGCAAACTTTTGATGTAAAATAATAATATTCTGCATTGATTGCAAAATACAGAAGCTACATTTGCCGCAAAAATTGAGAAACATGTATTTTCTTGGGTGCAGTAAAGTTTCTTAACATAAGATAGAAATTTGTATTGTGTCAATGAAAATATTACTTTTATACTAATATAGTGTTTTAATCTTTAAATATAACAATATTTCAATATAATGTGTGGGGGGTTTAAAATGGTTTAGTTAGACGTGATGTATAGATGGACGAATAGAAAAGCGTTTTTAACACTTCGATCGATCAATACAAAATACTACATTGCCTGCGCTAATTGGAAACTTCAAAATCGCTTTGGTAAACGCCACATTTGAGCCAGTAATTGCATCGGTAGTTGATCGAAATGTTGTGAATAGAATGTTTGAACTTTGCCATGAAAGCAATCAATGATTTCACTTCAGTATCGAGTGAAAAGTTAAACACGCAGAGGTCGCACTTTCGTTGTACTGAAATTGTCGAATCCGAGCTTTCCCTGAATTAACTGACATTGATTAACAACTGTACGTATAGATATTTATGATATACGTCGACCAAAATTTCTAGATACTAGACTAATTACATAAATGAATACAGTGATTTTACTTCAAAAATATTCTGGTTTTGAATGTCATTTTTTAAGCAGTTTTTAGGAACTTTTTTTCAATGCATCAAATTTTTGCACATACATTTATGAGTATTTAAAGTACACAATTAATTTTTGTATTTCAGGCTTTCTATTAATTTAAAACAAAAAATCTTTCTTTTTAGTCTAAGTCTGCCTATGGCCTGAATCAAAATTGTTTAGTAATCTGAATTATTTACAAATTTGCGACATTTTGAGTAATAATTATCGATCTTTTTTATTGTTTTCACCTTTGGTTTGCTAAGAAGATAAGAAAAAAACGACTAATGAAACTCTAGCAATTTTGAGTTAAGTAATCAACTAGAACTTTTAAAATATCGTGTCAACTGTTCCCAAAAAAATAGGTTTCAAGAAAAGCGTACTATTACTAATACCAACAAATCGTTCTAGACACATGTTTCAGAATTCTTATACTTGAGAAAAATGCAAAAAGTTGATTTTTTGGAAGTTCAAAGCCAAAATTCCCCCTTAATTACTGAAATAAACAAAAAGGAAACAATGACATCCTAAGCAGCATATTGACAAAAGCCGAAATTCATTTGAATCAGCCGAACACTGTCAAATATTTCCTGTATCTACTTTTAGATCAAAATAAAAACAGACCTGAAGCTATTATTGAACACACGAGCGGATGTAAAGTTGGTGAACGGGTTATCGGTCGATGTTCTCGCGTAACAGTAATTTTATGGTTTTTTGAATATGCTCGACATCGATAGACGACAAACTTATCTATCGAATTTCTAAATGACTATTTTGTTATCATGAATTGTCATCTAAAAAAGAAAATATAAAAACACTTGAACTGAATCATTTCTGCGGACATCAATAATTGGACGTCTCAGAAGCCAATCGGTGTAAAAATCCACTAACTTTAAAATTGACATAATGTAGCTGTAAAAAAATAACAATGTCATTAGTAATGCAAAGCACAATTTTTAAAGAAACAAATTTTTTCAAGAAATAAAAAGAAATATCAATGTTTTTTTAGAGAAGTCAAATTAATTTAATTAATTAATTTAGTAATTCCGTAGTAAATATAAATGCTGCTATCCATTGTGTGTTAATTTATGAAAAAATAGACTGTATTGATTTATCGACCGAAAGATTCTATGATAAAGATGTGTTTGTACTGTGTATATAATACAATTATACATTTCATGCTTCGTAAACAATATAAAAACATGATCTGTTCAATTTGTCGTACGCAAGAAGATTCAAAATCGATTGATTTGTATCGGTCTCCTTTATAATTTCGTGTAAATTCACGTGAGAGATGAATCCATTCAATATGTATGGTACAGACAAATAAACTTTTAAATCAGAACAAGCATTGTTGTGCTGTTATAACTTTAATAAAATAAAGTGCAATTCTGCCGAGATGCTTTCCGATTCATTAAGCGTTTAATATGCGTGTTGCTCCTCTGTGCCTGTACCTCTAGAAAATTTCCCTTTCCTAAACAGAAACTTTTCGAGGTATGTTTCTGGAATTGCAATTAATTTTACATACTCTCCTATATATGCGGAACATACAGATTCCACAGACCCTCGTCATGCACATTCTACCTCTAGGTATCGCATCGCACACTATACGTAAGCATAACTGTTCTTTCTTCAGAGTATGAGAGTACAAGACAGACAGTATGTACACCTGCCGTTAAAATTCCTTCGTTGACAATAAAGTTTGTACAACCAATAATAGCAGAAT